TTAGAGACACTGAATGATATGGCTGAGTGTCGTAAACAGTGGCGTTCTTGTATCTTCTCAATTTCTTTGCAAACTTAGACCACTGAACTTCTCCATTTTCTGTTCGACTCTAACATTAGCTTTCTTGTCCTTTTCCTATTCTTCATCCAAATGAGCAGTCAAAAGACAGCGACCAAAACCGCATGGTTAATGGTTTTTCAAACCGAAAGTGAAACTGGGACCCCGCTTGGCCATCTAATCTAGCTTGATCGAACACAACAGAGAAAATGGCACGTCAGAGGAGCCGGAGAGCAACACAATATTGTTGAACCGAAGTCATGTATTGCCCAACGTTTCGGTCACCTCGAGTGGTCTTCGTGGGGAAGATGAGATACAGTAACTACGCAGAACGATAGAGTGAAAATGAGATTATGTAAGTGTTTTCACTCCGTGATGTGTTGTACAACATTTGTAATAGTTGGTAAGATGTTCTAACGAGTCGGAATCATCAAATATTAGCTTTAAATACCGATTGTTATTCGTATAACAAATCTGTTCACAGTTAAATCTGAGTTTAACACAAAAAAATCACAGTGCAAAAAATGTTGACACAGGGGAGGAGAGAAAGACGAACCGTCGGTTCTGGATCCTCGAGATTCGCCTGACATTTTGCACTCTGATGGAATTGATTGGTTCGAATAAGTTCTTCTCGTTCACCTGAATAAACAGATAAATGTGTGGAGAATCTCGATTGAAAAAACATTGAACAACTCGGTACACATGTAGGAAGAAATGGACATAATAGTGCGCGTCTCCCTCATGAGGACAAATGTTTTATAGGAATGTGTTTATAATATTGAGATTACGTTCGAGACGAGGATGGTCACTGGAAGTCAAACCAGTCTCAACTTTCAGGCATAATCAACGCATAGACAAGTTGAAATCTGTGAAGTATTATCGACAGAATTATACCACAGAAATCTGCTTTCGCTTGATTTCTATCCAATCCATGTGATAGCGACAGTAGTCAACACGACCACAAAATGAGCCCACGAACGAAGGACCACACAAAAACCTCTGGTGTCTTACCACGAATCTTGGCGGACCTACTCATACTCGGCGTTTTGACTATGGAGCCATTGATACGTTCAGTATATATATATATATATATATATATATATATAGTATTATTATTATTATGGTGATAACGGAGTGGAGAATGATTCGTAAATACGTAAAAATGTCGTATTGGAACAATAAGGGAAGAAGTAACAACATGTAGACTGGACCCACGAAAGAGGCTTCAACTTTCTAGTAAGGTAAAACAAGTGAGACTCAACAAGTCCCTTGAAACCCATAAGAAAGAAATCAGCAATGGTTATCTTGCTACACGATCACGATATACAAAATGGTAAGAAAAAAATGTTGACATAGCTTGAACTGAATCGCGTAACTAGGCAACATGATTCCAACTGTGAACCTAATATGGTTGTTGTGCAGCATGACAACTCAATACTTCACAGGTCCCGATGATAAACCAGTTTGCGCGACTGCTATTCATTGTAAAAAAAAACTAGGACTGTTTATTGAGTATCAACACATCAAATACTGAGAAAACCATCGGTATGGATTTCACAGATGATGATGAAAGAGTTATTGCAATAGTTTCATAACTCGGAACACCCTTAGTTCCATAGTCCAGCTGAATTTCTACGATTATCGAATCATTTCGATTGGCGTTTTGTGCAGTTTCTCACTGGAAACAACACAAAATATTGAACGGAAACAAAAATAGCAATAGAAACGTACGTTCTTTTCTTTTTCGCTCCTCTTCTTCCGCCCGAATTCGTGCACGTTCAGCCGCTTCACGTTGTTCTTTTTCCCACTGGATTTCCTGTCGCTGTTGTAACGCAGCCCGTTTGCGAATCACAATAGCTGATTCCTCCTGTTCAGCTGATACACCAGGTTTGCCCATGGATAGGATAAGTAACTCATTTTCGTTAGCTAACTGTACCGTGTGAAACGATCCCGATTTGCGAAGTTAAATGTCATCCGGGTTGCCAAACAAGATAAAATAAAATAACAAATGCATCAATCATCATCACCGTACAGCGGAATACAGTGAAGTGAACTTCACTGATTGCTGCCAAACGCATGATGCATACAAGGTAAGCGAGAATGTGTAAGGAGGATGAGGATAAGGCCTATTCTTTGAGAAGGGAAAGAAAGCCGGCTCCTATGATCAACACGCAGAGTGCACAGTCCAACTGTGCATGCACACCATTGCACGCATTCTGGTCTGATAAGAAGTGACAAAAAGAACGCCAATGCTGTCGGTTTTCTGCCGTGACCTTTAGTGTCTCTAACCATCCGGTTACGGAGTCTTTTTGTTCGCAACCCGGAGGACGAGATACCTACTCGACTTTAATGCCCCCCTTCATTTCTTCATACTTCGTCCCCACGTCTTTTGCTGGCCTCCACGTGGCTTTCTCCAGTCTGCAACAGCCACTGCCAATAAGGTGTGCTGCGATAGGCGACCGTTAGACGGAATCGAAACGTATTCTAATCGGTGGAATCTATCGAGCGATAGCGACTTCTTCACGGATGCATCACTGAACACCAGACGACTTACACACATCTGGACGCACATTTTTATATTGTTGACTGGCAGCATGCCGACCTTGAATGCTAACTTTAAATTGTACACTCATCTGTTACTACACTTTCAAATCATTCACTTTTCTGCACTAATTTTGCTTATCCCCACTAACCAAGTTCAGTTTCACCCACTTGCGTGCTGTCGTCATGAAATAAGAAAAATCACGTTATTTGTAATGCGCCTCAACTCCCCCCGAGTGTTTTTGTCTTGCAAGAACTCGGAAGAGACATTCGCTAAGCACAGAGGAAGCACGCGAGAACGTTACACCTTCAACGTTTCAGTGGGATTCCTGGACGAACCACTTGCAACTCCACTCAATCAAATGGACAACGGAGATCATCGGCTTGAACTATATGCAGAACACAAATTGTTCCTATCGAGTACCAACGTGTCAGACAAAACGTGAAATCGCTCTCCATAGAAAACCCGTGAAGCTTTTCAGCCATGAATTCAAATCATTCACGTCAACCAACGTGGGTGATAATTTATTGAACAATATCGTTCTTACTAGTGAATACGGATCACACTCTGGTACCACGTAGATTCTACCTGAGCCAGATAAACAACCGAAACAATGCAGCTGAAAGCGGATATCAACAATACAATGTGGCAACTGAAAATTCGAATTCGAAGCGGAGCTGTCTCTCTCTCTCATCGTCTCTCAACTCAATCACGCTTCAAAGGACTGAATGAACACTGGCAGCTGATGCAAAAAGTGTTGGATTGGAAGTTCGAGGAGATAGAAAAAGCTGCATTGATTGATGCCAGTCACAATGTTTTCTGTCTGATCAGAAATACAGGGCTCACAGACATTAATAGGCGTAGTTGTAGAAACTAACACGTCCGATGGTAGAATGATTCACACACGACAATACAATTTGGAATGATGAGTGGGACATTTCAAACCGCAGTTCAATTAGTCAGTTTTAGCAGGACCTTATGAGATTCGCCAGGTTGTAGATTGCCCATTGACATATATATATATATATATATATATATATATATATATCATGGAGGGAATTCATCGTATATAGAGCAAATGAAGCGTGAACTGAAGAGTTAGGAAGCACCGCACAACTGTTTCGACCTGGTTTGGTCTCATCAGCAGCGCAAATCCATCGATCCAACTGGGGATAGAACGCGGG